TATTTTCAATATTAACTTCGATAAGAAGCTGTTCATTTATAGCTTGTATTTTCGTTTAAAAATGTAAGATATATCAAAACAAGAAGTATTCAAAAACTGAGTTTGTAGTTGCATGTCAATTGTTCGAATTCACATTATGTGGCAATCTATCAAAATATAATACAGGCAGGCAGTAATGAAATTTTTTTTCTCGGATGCATCGTGTTATGTGTGATTGTTCTATATATTGTCAGCTAAACACCTACATTCTTGGTAGAAAATTCCATAAATATAAAAAACTTTCCCGAAATTTTTTTTTATTTAAATGGCTTTGCCACAATTTTTAAGTCGTGTACTATTATATTATTCAATATTTATTTTTGGTGATTCATTTTTCTTAAAATAAATGCGGTTTTTTTTAACATTTTTTTTCTCAATATTTTATAATATTATACAATTTTTAAATATTTACCTTTTTAGTAGTTTCCATATCTCTATTCTCTATCAACTTTTGTAACTTATATGAAACATATATATTCAATTAGCTATTTAAATTAAAAATAATTTGCTGACAATTTTGACTGGTCGATAACTATTTTTAACCCTGCTGTAAACAATATTATTGAATGATTTTATTTTATGTTGCCAGCATTGATTTGAACCATTGAGAATATACCTTAACGTGGCGTTGTTTTACGATAAATTTCAAAACCTAAATTATTGTCAATTCTTTTAATTGGTAAATCAAGGAAAGACAACTTTTTATCGATTTCTTTTTCATAAATTTATGTTATGTAAGAATAACGTGAATTTATATCTTGAAGAAAAATATCTTTATCCATTTCTTCAAGATTAAAGTTCTTAATACATAATTTTTTAGGTTAGTTTATAAACATAAGTGGTCAAAGGGAAGATAGCCAGACCGCTTAGTAGAGGGCTTAAACAAATATTGAGATCGGATACAGTTTTTTTTCTGGGTATCTCAAGGGGTTTAACAATTATTTTTCAAATTTACGGCATAACACTCTAATTGCATCATAAAATCATAATTTAAAATTTTTTTAGGTAGCACTAAAGATAAAATAGAGGATGAAGATTAATCGGGATTCATAAAATACATTATGAATGAATTATCTGTACAATACAAACATAAAAGCCTTCACTAAATATTTGATCGAGCTTGCTAAAATTATTCCATATTCTCAACTTTAATATCTTTAATTTTGGGGTAAGTTATTTGAATTTAATACAGATCAACTTTTCCTGATTTTATGCAATTTTTAAATGGCTGATTATATTATAAATTATCGTTTGTAAAACGGGTCATTTCACTCAAATAAAAAAAACTATTCGTCCTTTAAAAAAAATAATTCAGAGTTAGTTATTTTTTCTTTTGTTATGAATGTTACGAATGGAAAGGATATTTAAACCGAGGGCTACTATATAAATCTGCAAAATATTCCGCCTTCAATACTATACTTTGGAACGTCTTAAACATGTAATGTGCACATTTAAGGTAAGGCACGTGCACTTTTGCAAATATTCTAAATAAATATTTTCAGACCAAATATAATCTGGGTATTACTATGTATTCCTTGTGAAATGGTTGTTAGTTTTGTTAGATTGCGTCGAAGATCAATTTCATGACTATACCGTATCATGTCTTTCGTCGCTCGTGTCTATGTTAAAGTTAGAAGTTATGGTTATAATTTAGCTTACAACAAGGTTTCACATAATAATTGGAATCATATAATAATATAGTAATTCATTATTTTTTCAAGGAGAACTCTCAGTGGAAGCTTAACGATTATCTATTGCTGTATATTGATTAGACGACGACATATAATAGTATAGTGCTTGTATAAACAGTACAGTAGTATTATACCATTTTTTGTCGTAAAAACGTTTTCGGGTTTTATCGCTGAACGTCTGATGTCTATTATTTTTTACCCCACAATTCCCTTCGTTATTTTCATTTTATGTCTTCTTATTTCACATTTTTTTATAATATTATGTAACTTTTCGGAATGTGACATATATATATATTTATGTTTATTTGGTTAGTCAAGTGACCTTGAATTTATTGTATACTACTGAAGCAAGAATAGTCGAATTTTAAATTGGAAATAAAAAAAAAATGTGCTAGTTATTTTTTTTTTTGCTTTTGTTTTTTAAATAAAAAACATAGTAAGTATTTCATTTAAATAACGTTTTTTTTCCCAATAGTATGATATAGTATAAATACTTGTATACAAAACAAACAGCATATTGAGGTGGTAGTACAGTGTAATGGAGATTAGGGTGAATATTGGTTTGTAGGAATTATAACTTATAATGAAACCATAATTTGTTATTTTTTGAGATTTCAATAACATTTATAACGGCTTGACATTATTAATTATGCACCTATTATATTCCAGATTATACACATTATTAAACTACTGACAAAAAAGAATGACTAAACTAAAAAAAAAATTAATGTACATAAAATAACTAATTTATTAGATTTACGTACATTTCCGCCATTTAATGATAATTAATGTATTATTATTATAATGAACAATTACAAAAAAAGTATGAGATATATTAAAAAAGTAGAACTTTTATCGGTGGCACCTATCAGTAATTTTTATGTTTAAACAGAGAAGTGAACGTTAAACATTGTTTTCAAAACTGTATCTATAATATTCAAAAAGTTTTAAGTATTAACATGCAATATTACGATAAATTGCAGCAATTTAAACGAACTTGTGTATGCAGTTAAGTTAAGGTAAAAACGATAAGCAAAAATATAATAATATCTAGTTTAATATTATATAGGGGAAGTCATATTACCAGTATATCAGTATAATATTATATTTTTTATGCTTTATTTCACATATTATGTTATAAGTATGACGTGAGCTTAACTATAAACAATTGTAATAAAACACTTAATGTTTTTAATTGCGGTTCATACGGTATGTTCTATTGAATGAGTACTATAAATTAGTCTGTATATCTATTGTTTATGATAGTTTAATACATTTGGATTACAATTCTATCAAATTAAGTTAAATAAATATTAAAACGCGACTTCAGTGTGCGAGATTTTGTAATTTTCAAGATAAATAATGCGTTTAAAACAATTCAATTAAACACTTTTTGTGAATATATGCCGCCACCCAGTAACTGGTACTTAAATACTAATATTTTGTCATCGCCATACACGTAGTTGCGAATAGGTGTTGATGAATTTCAATAGGCTCAACGGTGCGATTAACTCGCTAACCCCGTTAATGTAGAATCTTCTTAAATAATAAACTGCCTACATTACTTATTATATCAACTAAATTTAGTCGGCGCCCTATTCAAATGAACGCTTACTGTCAGATGTTCAGTCATGAGTAATTATGGTCATTAAGAATGTTGTGTTTTCTAAAAATCAATCAGTATGACGCCGCATTTTTTTTTGCATGTTAACCTTCGATTAATAAAAACTACAACTTACCGTGAGCACCGTAGGTAATTGAGGATGAACTTTCTAACTTGGAAACTTTTACGTGTTTTTCCACTACATTAGTTATTATAAGTTATAACCGTTACATCAACGTCGAATAGAACTAGAATAACTAAACACACATTAATAACTAACGACAACCGACTATATAATACACAATATACTGAAATTTCGGTCGTTGATAAATATTGTTGTACGGGATCGACGTATTTAAATTTTAAACTTGATGTTATAAATTGAACTATACGATTAGCTACAAGGTATATGAAATGAAATAATATTTTTACCGTACTTGCGTTTTTATAGTTATGAGTAACTTATAAATTGTTTCAAACTAGCAAACTAATAAAATCATAACCTAACAATATTTCTATACTCATGAGTCATGATTAACTTACGTTTTGTTTTAAGTATTTTCAAGTATATTGAAGAAATGAAGATAGTAGTTTCGTGAATTAGTTTTATAAGTTTTTATACTTTGTCCTACTTTTATACTTATTTTCTATCTTAGTTAACCAATTACCAGGCGTGAATTAATAGATGTGTACTTAAATTTTTAATAATAATGTATTACTGTATTTATTTATTCAGAAATATACGGGCCCTTTGGAAAAAGTTTTTATAAATAGCTCGTTTAATGTCATTCCTAAAATCTTCACAATTATTATAACATTTTACAAAAAGTATAAAAATAATAAGATATAGAAGAAAATAAAAATAATAAATTAAATGACAAAGTGGGAGCCTGCATTGATAATGTTACGAAATTATATATAGATATTTACGTTTTAAAATGTAACAACAGCATAATATTTTGAGACTAGATAATATATTATACAGTTATGTTGACATAACTTAAAACGTATTGGCATTGCTATTATATTTAAAATGAGATGACTATTTGGGGGGAGATTTTGTATTACAGTGAAACTTGCATTTACAAACACATTACATTTAAAATTCAATAATACTTAAAAAATTCTTTAATAGCCAATTTTAATTGGTACAACAGCATGAAAACTTTTTAGATATGTCCTGTATTAACAAATAATAACAAAAGAAGATTATACTTACATCTAATATCAATACAAGATGTTTATTTAAGTCGTCATTTTTATTTTGTCTTCGGTACTTGTTTGGAAAAAGATATTACACTAACAGATTCCAAAGTAGTTCCTACTAAATTGTTTTTTAGCCTTATTTAATTACAATAATTTTTATTTATTTCGGTTTACTTCTTGACAAAAGAACTTCGAGGGTTAGTCGCCATGGGGGCGGATTTGTGTGATGAATAATTATGTTTATATTGAGGTAGATTGAATTGCGATTACTTTTAAACAATTTAAATGTCGCGTGACTTATTTGAATAATATATAAATAGACGTAAATCTAAAAAATACATTAAAATATGTCTTGTATATTGTTGTTGTACACGTACAATAGTTAAATGGAATGGGTAAAACTTAAGGGTTATACAAATAATCTAAAACACTAAATGTATGCATAATTATACGAATTGCAGGTTGAATAATAGTTAGACGTGGATAATCGCAACAAAAGAACAACAATGACGGTTTCGTATCGCTGTTGTTTGTGGTTGGCTGTGCAATTTTTAATGCTTATGTATCCAGTCTTATCAGGAGACATCAAGATTCATACTACTCTTATACCAAAAGCATGTAAGTACAAACTTAATATATTGCTTATGTATAATTCACAAAGTCATTAAAATTTAATTTAATAAGATTAGATTTTTAGTTGTTTATATAATAATGTTAAACAAAAATCTGGATAAATACAATATACATAAGTACTTAGATACAATACCTACCCAATATACTTATTTTCTAAAATTAAGCGTATATAAGTAAACTACAATCGAGAAATTGTACATAAACATTTTTTTAGATATTGATGTACAATGATCGTGAGATTAAGGAATGCGTTATAGTTCATACACAATTCGTCCCCTGCCTATAATCATTCATTAAACACTTGGCAGTTTGCTTATGTATTCTTAGGTAATAATATATCTTCTTTTTTTTTTATCATATTCTTTAAAAATGAGGGCGGCCAACAAATCCCTTTCTACAAACATTTCTATCCGGCATTTTTCTTTATTCACTCTACCCATTTCCATGTCTTTAATGTTATAAAATCTATTTACTTCTCCTTCGGTTTAATCTTATCTTGCCATTTAAATGTATTACCTACTTGTGCCAATAAACATAAAATATTTAATTTGTTTAATTACGTTTTTATATATTCTGCTAGAGTAATTAACTTGAAATTGGTTTTGCACCTGGCCCTAAACTTATATGTACTTAAAATACACCGTGTACGTAATAAGATTTGGAAAATAATATTGACCCGTTTTAGCCTTCCTTTTTTTTAATGTTTTTGTCAAAAAACTAAAATTATTAAAAAATGATATATAATTATAAAGTTATAAGTGTATAAATAAAACTTTTTTGAGAAAGAGATTCCGGTACTTTTTTTGTTGGTGGCGTAAATTACGATACACTTTGAGAAAATCATATGACTTCCTTTTATTCTAAACTATTCTATATTCTTCACTTAGTACACACACGAGCAAAGCGTCCATATTTTATTAGAACTTTGGCTATCTCGTCGTCATTACGGTTGTCCAGATGTCGTTTTCATTCACATTTTCAAACATGTAGGTACTACATAATATTATGATGACCTCCGAGCCGTGCGGTCCCTTCGTTATTTCTTACGTCGTTGCGGCCCGTCGTGTGCTCGGACCAGCATGAAATTGTTATGTGTTCTACCCGAAATGGTAGCATTAGTACTTGGGGTACGCATGGGTGCGTTATTATACGCTGGTCTGATGGTCCAATGCAATCTGTCGGGTGCTATTGGCTTTTCGCGTATTACGGGTTGCCGGTAGTATATATTTTATCCTTTTGATAATACAAAAAATAAATACAAAGCACCTGCACGACAGTCGTTTGTAGGCATTCGCGGTGTTCGACATGTCCCAGTCAATAGCTGGTATTATATAGCTGTGATGTTTCTTTATTATTATTTTATTATTTTGCCCGACGTGCAAGGTCAGTGGATTTTTTTTTGTATTTTGTGGGGGGGGGGGCTCTTCCAACAGGTTCGATCGAATTGTGATTTATATCAGTGGCACGCGTCATTATGATATACGAGCAGCCGCATGTATAATGGTTTATCCTTGGTTCATCCATAATGTAACGGTTCGGTGGCTTATCGTTTACAGTTACACATTTTTCTTCGTTAAAACTATAACTCGAAGGAATATTTATCGGATAACGTTCTTGATAAACGTTTGTTTGAACACATTTCGGGACCGGGACGTCTGGAACATCAGATGCACAGTAAACGTTACGGAAACGGGTTCGACGGCTCCGTTGGGATTAAATCAAAACAAACAAAATCCCACTGCGATTCTGTAGCTGAACAATAATTCTTTGTATCGCGCCCCTCCCCCCGGGCCTTACGTGCTATTTGTCGTGGCTTTATTTTGTAAAACTCAGTTGACACTTAAGAGAGAGAAACTACCGTGAGTCATTGTGTAATAACTCCCCATAGTTATTGTTATTAAGGTTTTCGAATAAAACCGCAAGAGAGGAAGAGAACGAGTGACAATGAGGGGTTTTCGAGAAAAAAAAATATCGCTGCTTGCCGTACCGGTGATGTATAGCTATAGCGTAATGGTTAAAAAGAGAAATATGATAATGTTGGCGTCATGAAACTTAGATAATTTCTAGAGACACCTGCAAGAGATGTTATCGTTCAATAATACTCAGTGCCTAACCGCTGGAGTGATAAAAATTACCATTTCCGAATGTTCAGAGACGACAAATGTTACTTCATTATCAAACCCGCGGTTTCTTCTATATAAATCAGCTCTGCGAGCTCCATTAATATTAACAATATTGTTTTTCAAACAAAACCTCAACTATAATATTTTTCAACCTACCGCTTCTAGTTAGCATTCAGTTTTGATATTTCCAGATATATTTTTACACAAACAAATGTTACTCGAAATAACGTTAAAATTATCTCGATTAACATCAATATCGATAATTGATTTGCGAAAGTGACGTGTAAATCGTGCGTTTAGCTTCAATAGAAGTAATAACTTTACAGTGATGTGTTTTTCTTATTATTTTTTATCCGATAATAGATAATAAATAATTAGAGATGATTAATACGAGTATGCTTCCACGTGAATTTGTGGATACCCCACAGTTAACTTCTTACTGTGCCAGATTTTTTTTCTTTATGGTGAACGAAAGCGGTCTGTGTTTTTGAAGTTTCAAAGTTTAAACCAAAAATCCTGACATTCCGACTACTCACTTCAATTTTGTAAAGATATGCGAGTTCTTTAGCCACTTTACTAGGTTATGTATGGAAACGGATTTCTATATGTTTGCTTTTTTTATGTAAAAAAATTACGAAACCGTCCGCTTTCAACCCCTTTAGTTTTAAATAATATTAGTTGACCAATGTATGATGTCATTTCAACATTCTATGTTTTGATTGAAAGAAAACATCATGTTATAATAATATGTAAATGTAATATTATTAAGGTTTCTGCCGTCAATTATTTTTAACCTTAGGGTTAATGACTAATTGATTTATGGAAACTTTAAATAGGTAAAAAATTGTGACTTAAATTTTCTCTTCTACTGTAAAACAATTTTTAATTTTTCAATAACTCATACGAATAGTACTCGATATCGTCTTCATAAAAAAAAACAAAGTAGGTTATATACCTTTTGATCTAAAATCTTCGTCTTTCTTAGAACTATTTTGTCATGTTTAACATAAAATATAGATACTAAAATATTATATAGTACAGCTATACTGCATTAGCAGTTTGTACAATGGTTTTCAAGTGTTGGATTTAATAGTAATGTTCCATAATTAATAATTATGATAAATGATTACCATACTACAAACATCCATATTGATTTTTTTTTGGTAGCTGTAGATACATATTCCAAACAAAGTAATTCCAACGCTAGAATACTTACTTTCTTAGCTTTGCGTTAAAGGTAAACATTGTTGTTTTGTGACAGAATTTGTAGTTCTGAGTTATTTACCTCACAAAGTTGACTTAAACACAGCTTTAAATCATTTAGCCCCATTAGTAAATAGATGTATTATCTTTTAAAATTGTAAAAACAAATTTCAATTATCGGTGACACCGTGCGCTAAGTCTTTTAAAAAATTAGTTTTTGCCAATGAAACTTTTTATGAAGTTTTGGTGCTTAAAAGTTTATCGTAGTCGACTGAGATATAGAAGCAAACCGACCCGCAACTAGAGAGCTGTTATATAATTTCAACAATTTTGTAATGCATTTGGTAGCTTTAGATTTCTATTACTGTACGAAATATATTGTTTAAAACAAAACGGTCGTATTGTTCATTGTGTGTGAAATACATAAAATAGTTTAGTAAAAAAAATTAACGCCGCGCCCTACTCAGTTAGGACAAACAGTATGTTTTATTACTTATTGTCCACCACATTCGCTAGCATGGAATCCTTTTATGCTCATTGAAAATGCTTCCTCTGTAAAAATATTGCGACGGCAATTTTTCTATACATTTTTCCATGTGTAAAATATAAAATATTTATTGAAGCGACGGTTTTGCCGGTAGAGAATCCACTTTGCGCACGTACGGTCATTATGTCTCCTTTTCGGTCGAACGGGCCCATTTTTTACACCTTACACTATCGGTAGACATAGTGCCGATAGATATTTTTTTGAAGTCGTTATGTACAATCCATTTTACGAGTCAACCTTGAATCCACTAGACCGTTTATGTAGGTATACTATATTTAAATGTTTACTCCTTAGTATGAATACTGTGTTTTACAAAACATACATTTCAATAATACAAAAAAAGTATTTTAATAATATTCGCTAAATAAATTTTGCAAATCATTTTTTTCTGTGTCACGATTAATAGAATTATTATAAAATAATTGATACGTGTTGTTAAAAATATACGTTATAATATAGCACCATTATCTATTTAACATTTTATATTACACTCAAATGTTTTTTGTATGCAAGTATGTCTGGCGTCACAAGAATAAAAGAACTTTTTAAAAGAGAAAATGATGTTTTCTTACAATAGCCATTTAATTTAATTTTCTATACCACAAAAAATGTTACACGTACACTATCATTTTGACGCTATCGACGTTCTTAGATGGATCCTGAAGTATTAACAGTAAGTGGGCGTTCAATGTGAAACTTCAAGGGTGCCGGTCTTCTGTTCGCCGCAAACACTACCTTTACATAAATCATTCATTGTAACGAAATTTGATATGAATAATATACATTTTATCCTGCGAAGCACGTAGTGACGTTCAATACCGCAATTTCAACATACTTCTAAAAATATAAGCAACATGAGTAGTACTTTTGTGCATTCCCATCTCAAGATTTTTAGCATCAACACGGTGGTAAATAGATACAACTGACATAAAATGGAACGTTCTTTTTTGTAAGGTGATATTTTTCTAAGGGTCTTGTAGTTTATTTTTTATTGGTACAGCTATGTAAATTCAAATGATCAAATATGTTGTACACAGTTGGACCTCAGGTCAACATTTTGTTGAAAACGGTATTCATACATCTCCATATTCTAAATCTTCAATAATCCTGAA